TCTTTCTTTCTTTTTTTTCTCTCTTTTCTCCTTTCTTTCCCTCCCCTCGGCCCCTCTCTCTTCTGCCCTGTATACGTTTTCCTCATCCCTTCCCTGCTGCTATGCCGCACGAATCAAAGCAATCAGCCGTTTGTTGGAAGCCAGACGGATTGTAAGGGCGGCGCTGGCAGATTGGTAATCCTGGCAACTCAATGCGAACGGGCTGCGGCGGAGTGCCCTAATATAAACACAAGGGCTTTCGCCCACTCTCGCCTCCTCTCGCTCACTCTCGCCCGCACTCTCGCCCACTCCCGCTCCACGCTCTCGCTCTCTGGCACCGCATAGCGCCTGCCATGGCCTCACGCTAGTCGGATCGAGTGCAGCCGCATGGTACCGAAACCACCGGGCCGGAAGTGCCGTGCCGAGTGCACCGTGCAGATCATCATGTATCGCGCATCGCGGTAAAGATCAAAAGACGGGTGCTTCAAAACAGGTGGGCTTGCTTATACCGTCGCGCCTTTTGGCCGCATTCGCATTTGAGTCTACAGTTTAACCAGAAAAAGATTCGTGTGCAATGCCGACGGTGTGAAAGTCTGGTGCCCTCCTTGCACGATTCCAATTTTTTTTTCGTTCCTTTCTAACGCTAGATTTCAGCATCTTTAATTCCCACGTATATTCACATTGATCTCAGGGATGCGAGCGTTTGTCCTCTTTGAATGCCAAACACTGGCGTTTCTTTCGAGAAATTTTGACCTCTTGGCATTGGCAAGCCATTGTTTTGACATTCAAAGAGGCTACGATTTTGGCTTTTATGAATAAAAAACATTTGGCAGTAAACTTTTTTTTTTACCATTGCATAACTTCACACTTTTATTCGCTTTTATTCTTTTCACGGGATGCATATGGTTTCATCAAAGTTTTTGTGCCATATTTTTTTTCCCTTTTTTTGCGGTCCTGTGCATGATTGTGGTGCTGGTTGTGGCGGTAGATTAGTGCCCCGCTGGGTCCCTCACAATGCCGCCCCACCGCCGCCCCCCGGTGTGTCTCCCACCCTGCCCTCCCCGCCCCACCAACCGCGGTCTAAAACCCACCCGAGGGACGCGCGGCCACCGCCGGCACTGCACCGACGCGCGCGCAGCGGCCCTTTCAAAGTGTGCACCGATTCATTTTCAATTCGGACCGCAAAACTGCAGGGATGGAAATATAAGTAGTCCCCAGAGAGCGGCGCGCCAAGCCCGGCGGCGCTCTATGAGCGGGCGCGCGGCGGGGGGTAGCGGCGCTGGCTGCGGAGAGAGAGAGGGGAAGGGGTAGCGCGCAGCGGCCAGGGGCACGGGGGCGTCGGGCCACGGGCGCGGACCAGTCACCAACCAGACCGCAGAGACCAGTCACCGCGATAAAATATGCTCCAAATGTCACTGAAAATGGTGGAAAGGCCTTCTACTCTAAGACTTGAAGCGATTGAATTGACCGAGATGGCTCTTGTTCAGCCGCGATGTCCACGCCTCTATGATTATAATCGTTCGGATATTATCCACTTAAAAAAAAAGGCTTCTTCGTTTCAGGTGCATGTTGACAAGACAATATCAAATTCACTCTAGAAATACGGCAGTAATATTGTCTTTTAATTAATTTCTTGTCTCTTATCCGATAGATGATATCACCTTGTTTAGAGTAAATTATTTGATCTTGCGTCAGCACATGTACTTGTGCAATAATCTACGCAGACTCGGCGTGCATAGTTCGTTGAGTTTCGCGTAGGTAAAAAGGAAACAAATAGGAAGGAGGGGGGGGGGGTCATTGCTTCGCCACTATTATAAGACGCATTAGCGACCTGCCTTATTAAAACGGGTCGTCTTTGAACTTCCAGCGCGAGCCGCCGTATTTTCACACGGGCTCTCCTCTTCTCTCCCCTTCTCTCCTCTCCTCCTCTCTTCTCCCCTCCTCCCCTCCCCTCTTCTTCCTTCCTCCCCTCTGCTCCCCTCTCCTCTTCTCTCCTTCGTGGTGGTCAACGCCAGGCTACGGCCCTCGCACCGTGCTGATGCGTTGTGACAGCGCCATGCTCCGCTGCCTCCCAAGCCAAGAGGGAAAAAGCCGGCCGGCCCTGGAACATGGGGGGACGGAGAGGGGAG